ATGCAATAATATTTTGACAGTTACTGGTAGATTTTCATTGTTATATATATCTTTATTTTGTTTGTTGTTATATCCGTCAAATAAGCCTCCTCACTGAAGAAAATTCAACCTGCATAATGGTCAGATTTTTCATAGCCTCTACACTAGTTAAACACGTTCAGCGGTTGTTAAACGATCCTTATTGTCAAACTTAACTAAACTAAATATATGATGCCCTGCTTGACACGTCACTATAATAACCTTGTCAAATCAAGACTACGATGTGGTTAATATGTTATATTTACAACTAGAATTATTATTCTTCGGTATTTGATGTGTCGCCTTTAAAATTGTTATTATATGGGCATATGCTACAACTATGTTTATCTCGACAACATTTTACAAAGGTTTAAATACATCACTATATACAGTCGAAAATTACTTTTAATTCGAAAGGTACGTAGTGCTATTTTAAGTTTCCGGAATAGCATAAAGGCATATGAGCCCATGTCTGGAGATATGATAGCTTTATAGATGACATATCTGCAAAATTTTCTACTAAATTGTTAATAAAATATGGAATGCGATGTTAAATTTTTTTATATTGGAATCATTTATATGATAAACCCAAAAAGTTTCTGAACCGAGTGAAAAATATATTTAGTCATCTATTTTTTCTGGCTGTTGACCTCCTAAATTAGGGATTTTGTTTACTCTTAGCATTACTATCTACTATTACTGTCAAAACTAAAAGTATTAATTTGTTAATTATAAATTTTTTTTACCGAATCTGGCGCGTCTTATCACGAAAAAAAAAACTTTTTGAAAGTTAGAAGGGGTCGAATAGAAATAAAAAGAGAACAACAAAAAATTTAGTTAATATATTTGTAAATTAACTAAAATTTTTGTTGTATTTACTTTTTATTTGTAACAAGTTTTCCTAATCCAATGCTGTTATGTACGAAAATATGTTTCTATTAAAATTATCAAATATAAATAATACAAGACTATTTACTTTTTATAATATATCATTATATCTATCTCATTAATATCTTATGATTGTATTATATTTAATTCCATATTTCTCAATATATTTACGAAATCAATATATAACAATACTTCTATTTGTTTTGATATTTTCTATTAATTTTAACAATATTATTACTTATAAAATTAATTTGTCCAATATGTTCATATTTCCACTTAAATGATCCAAAATTATTCAATGAATTTTAAGTCGTATAAAATAAAATTATGGACCAAGGGGCATAGTAATATTTACGAGTATACACAAATACAATATTGTACTTATCCATCATCGAGGCACATACACATACTCCTACACTCATATCAATGGAATATGTAACATAGTATGATTATGGAGGAGAGAAAAAAAAAATTGTATATTTTATTTTCGTGCTCAATACGGTTGTCATCGAGAATCTATGGTTTGTATAGATTTGTCAACATTTTGCCCTTAACTGTCAAAAACAATAATATTCTTAAAATCAAATTTGACAGCTTTTTAACTTCGTAATTGAGCACGCATTACGCCTATTATATACACGAGTATGAATTATTGTGATTTACAGGCAAAAACACACACACACACATACGTACATACATTGACATATTGACTTTTCTTTTATAACGAAAATAAAAACAAAGAAAAAATGCTTCAAATCGATACCAATGTACGTCCTTGAAATGGGCTTCAGGCGACAGACGCGGCTATTTAACTCAGTGCAGAACGAGCGGGGAGTAATACGATGAGTAAGTGAATAATGTTTATAATAAATTCTTACAAAAACCAACAACAACAATGTGTTGATGTCAACAATTCTAAAAAAATGAAATTAAAACACAAATAATATAAAAATGACATAAAATAAAAAATGAAATAAAAATGAAATACAAAAAAAAAAATTAAAAATAAAATTGCAAATAAATTAAAGAAAAAAATAAAAATAAAAATAAAATAATAATTAAGTTGTAAACAAAAACGGGCTCACATTTTATCATTTTGATGAGTGTCACCACCTAAAAAAACGTACGAAATCTAAAAATAAATAATAAATAAATTAATTTAGTAATTAAACAAAAGAAAAATTATTTGAAATTATATTTTTAGTCTACGGCGTAGAATGCATTTTACCCTTCCAAGTACTTTTTCTCAGAAATTAGCTGCGTATTGAAATCCATTGAGTTGAGCCGGTGAACTTTTCCGAAACGGTCTCATGGGTGAGAGGTGGCGTTGTAATGCAAATATTTTCGTTCCAGAAACATCAAATGCAAATTTTAGTCTGATTCACTTAAACTTCACTTGTAATATGTAAATTTTATTTTTTACTTAAAAAAATAAAACTCAAGTTTTTTATTAAGTTTTTTCTATAGTAAATCGTAAGGTAAAATAGAGTCAAGGTAATGAATCACCAACACAGGTACACACGCACACGCATAAGGATACATCAAAATATCTGAAGTATAAAAAGTTTATCAAAATAAAATGTAAAATTATATCTTTTAATATTTTATGTTTAAATATTATATGTTTAAATATTATTATTAAATAGGAATTCTACTTCCTGCTCAAAAAGTATTTGGATTTTGTAAATAAAACATAAAATCTTATCTCCTTTAAAATATGCTCTTTCTGAAGCGATACACATATGCCAACGCTTAACCTAATCTTCCATACACTTTTCGTAGGCCCGTGAGGGTATGGCTTTTAGTTCCTTCGGCGAATTCTCTTTTACCAATTCAATCGACTCAAAACGCTTACCACGAAGGGGCAATTTGAGTTTCGGAAACAGGAAAAAGTCGTACGGCGCCAGATCGGTCGAATATGATGCCTGAGCGATTCCATAGTGAAAATCGCTAAATGCACTTGAGGTAGTCTCACATTAACAGCTGCTGTAAATAAACTAATTGACAGATGGTGTTCAAATTTGTACCATATGTCAAGAAAGGGTGTACCAACATAACAACAAATTTTTGAAAAAGGTCTATTACTTAAGGAGTAGTTAACAAACAACAAAATCCGGATACTTTTTGAGCAGATATTATCTTAAAATAATTTTCAAGTAGGGATCACCCTCACGTATATTCTGAATAGAAAAAACATTTTAGTAACTTGTTCTTGCTGTTCATATATATGTGTTAGTATTTTGTTGTGTGTCTGTTTTTTATTATACTGCAACCAATTTTTTCTATTCGTTCCAATTAATAATAAGAAATAATTATAAATTTGCTGAGTAATTCATTTAAATTTATTTTTCAAACTTTTTTCTATATATCTTTTGATTCCTCTGAGGTTCTACAAAAAGATATAACCAATCTGATCACGAAAAAGGATCAACTCAAGCGATCTCAATTACTTACATAGTTCCCAATTTCAAATTGAATGCACTATAAATACTTTGAAAATCTAGTATTCCCATTATTTATAAGAAGAAGAAAATTAATATATATATTTTTATATATTATATTATTATATTAATATACATATATTATTTTTATATTAGCTAATGTAAAAATTATTGGTTATATTTAGTATTACAATATTTTTATTCAAAGTTGTCTTTAAAATTAAAAATATTATGTGGTTTCAGGTTTCGGTAAAAAGCTTATAATCGGCAATATTGGTCTAATATAATGTGAGATTGGTTTGAATATTGCATCGTTCCTGATAATAAAACTAAATAGGTGTTACCTTTTGTTACTATAAGTTCCGATAACAAAAACGCAAGAGTACTAACTAAGCCTGGCAATTATTAAATAATAAAAAATCCGAATGTTTTCTAAGATCACTAATGATGACAATATTCAAAACAGCGTTGTATGGTCAATCAACAAATTTCAATAAATTAACTAAATTTTTGTTGTCTTTTCATTTATATTCGAATCCTTCTTAGTTTTAAATAGTTTCTTTCGTCATAAGACGCGTTACTTTCGGCAACTTAAAAATACAACGAAATCTGATGAATACAGGCAGATAAAAAGACATTAGATCCATCATATTATAAAGCCCCATATTCAGTTATTCTTAGTGTGACTTAAAACTGTCCACAGATATAATAGAGTTAAGGTGATGAATCATCAACTCAGATATTTGCATATTGTATCAACTTTCGGCAAGAAAAAATTAACACCTCATAAACGCTATGTTTTTATTATACGAACGATCTACTTACTTACTTACGAGTAGCCTTCGCCGGTCAGCCTGATTGGTAGCTTACTCTAAATCGTTGGTCATCTGGTCCTTCCACCGAAGATGCGAACGTCCTCTACCGCGTTTTACACCTGCGGGTACCGAATCAAACACCTTTCTAGCCGAAGCACTTTCTTCCATTCGCATGATATGCGAAGCCGCAGAATCAGCCAGTAAAGCCACAGAATCTTTATGCGCTTAACTATGTGAATGTCGCGGTATAAGTCATACACCTCATCGTTTCATCTAATTCGATACTCGTCGCCAACGCCTTAGGGGCCATAGATCTTCCGAAGAAGAACGATCTATCTGTAACTTTATTCAAATTTCTTATAAATAAAATTTTGCCATCAATTATTGAATAATAATAGTGACTGATCCTTTAGCTACTATATAATCATCTCGTTGTGTGCTTTTGAATATCTCTCTCTCTTTGATTAATCATCACTACTGTGAAATGAATTAAGTACATGATCATTAACGTCATAATCGTTAATGCAACGTAATTAATTTTTGAGTGATACATCATAAAATTTGATCTGATTAAGTCAAGTTTGATTGCTGCCCCGCTGCTGGTATTGTCTGAATGAATAATATATGTGCCACGGTGCAAGGGTCTGAGTGTGTGCTTG